AAAATATCACATTCATTCTTTTCATCCCCACAGTTTGTTGTTTTATGTAATATTCTCTCAACGTCTATAATCTGTAGTCTTTATGTTACGTTAATATTTTTATTTGATATGATTATTTTTGTCTAATTCAAAGTTGTTAGTTAATATAAAATATATATATGACGTTTTTTGTATAACTGAGACATTTAATCAGTGACACATCATCACATTCTCATTTATTTTTTATTTATTTGACTGTTTTCTATGTCCAAGCAGCAGGAGTCCAGCTTTTTTTTTTTTTTGTATAACTCAGACATTTAATCAGTGACACATCGTCACATTCTCATTTATTTTTTATTTATTTGACTGTTTTCTATGTCCAAGCAGCAGGAGTCCAGCCCAGGCCAGTGTACGTGCTGATGTGAAACTTCACTATTGCCCTCTGCTGTTGAGCGAACAACACTGCAGGTGAAATGACGGCAACGTCACAGAAGAAAGTTTTCTGCTGCTGAGAATCAATGACCTTGTGGTCGGTGTGGGGTCTCACTGGTAAACTTATCTGGAGAAACAGCTGTGATGCCTGAGAGTCACGGGACTGAGACTTTTTCATTTAATTACGATTCAAGGACAAGACAAACAGACACAAGGTCAATCTGAACGAAAACATTCTCACGGTTCATGCGTTCATTTAGATCATTTTAGATAAGTTTAGAGTCTGCTTCTAATGTGTTTGTGGTTACAGATGATTTTTAAATCACAATGAAGAGATGGTATTTATTTGTTCCTCTGGGCCAAAGGTTGGAACTGAGGTTCTATGTACGACAATTGATTATTTTAAATAAAATATAAATAATCCTGTCTTCAGTTACCTCTTCATCTTTAGCATTGACGTCCACCTTCTGGGAACTGATGGCCTTATTGATGTGGTCGATGTTGTTTTCTCTGCAGTAGTCGAAGATGTTCTTATCCTCTTCCCTGTGAGTGACAGAGACAGAGAGAGAGAGAGAGGACGGACGATGGACGTCATGCACGTCGTCTGAAGGAATCAGAACAAAAACTGCAGAAATACGACTATTTTTCTTTAGTTAAATAGTATGTAAAATAATCTTGTGTTCAGGAAAGGCAGACTGGTTGAACTGGTGATGCTGGTGATGATGGTGGGCCGTCGGGTGAGGGAGAGAGAATGGGTGAAATCTCATTTGGAGCTTTACGCCTTCCCTCCGCTGCTCCACCACGCTGCCCATTCAGATTAATTGAATTTAGTCCTACATTGTCAGACAGACAGAGACCCCACACACCTGCCCCCTGTGCCTCCCACACTGGAAGCCCCCGGTCCCTGACTGTGAGCTGCAGCCCTCGCTTTACGGCAAACAATAGATGATAAATTCACAAAGAAGAACCAGGATCTGGAAGAGAATCCAGTTAAAGGAGTCGTAATTTTAATGGAGTTCGTACTAAGAAAATCGAATGGCTCCACATTCTACTTTATTATAATTTATAAAGTATAAATCCTGAAAGCAATGATTTTTATTGGTCTTGTTTATATAGAAAAAGATCAACGTTTTACACGATAACCTGCTCTGGAAATCCAAGTGTCAAAGGTGTCAGTAACTAGAAAGCAGATCGAAAGTTCTTTAATGAACCTCTGCTCATTCTTTCTTTCCTCATCCTCTCATTTGCGTCCTTCCTCCCTCCTCCTCTGGTCTTGCTCCTCCCCCTGCCCCCCCACCCTCACCCTTATGAATAACTCATTAGTCTTTTATCACAGCCAGGTTATGTATGAGCACATCCATTTACATACTCCTGATTATCAGCACTATGGTTAATAATGAATCTCCACACTGGGCCACGCCCACTTCCTTGTCTGACGTCCACAGTGACCACCGGTGTCCCTGATTTGTGGCCGCCATCCGTCTCTCCTGGCAACTAATCAATAACCGAGCTCATCAGTCTTTCATCAATGGTCAGATGGGGCCGACCTGATGGCCATGTGTCACATGGTCGCCTGTATGCAGCACGCACACGCACACACACACACACACACACAGTGTTGAACATGTTAAAGAATAAGCAGTGACACACCAACAGGTCACAACTGTACACACACACACACAAACACACACACACACAAACACACACGCTTGATGCAGGGCCTGTAATGAAGGAATAAAGTAATAAATGTTTGTCAGAGAAATCACACAGTTTCATGTCCTAACAGGAGCTGAGGAACCTGCAAAACTGTGTGTGTGAAACAGGAGTGAAGTCTCAGTGTCAGGATCAATTCAATAGAACTGAAGTCAATAAGTCAATGCCTTGGTTTGGACGGTCAAATTAAAGTTACTAATTAAATGCTAATACTTTAGGTCAAGAACATTTGGGTTCCTGACGGCCTCAGACGTTTAGTTTTCAAAAGAGACTTTTTGGCCTAAGGAAGATCGATTTGTAGGATTCTGAAACTCATCCTCTAAAATGTAAAACATTTATATTTTGGCTAATCTTTAGCTGGTACGAGTGATATTAGCTTTTAGGTTAGCCTTAGAGTCAACCAAACTTTTTGTTATTAGTTTGAATTTAACCATTTTCTGGTTTTCATCTAACTTTAAGCCTTATCTTGTCTGGCAAAGACTCTGACAATATCCAGAATTATTATTTAACCCATTATTAAAGGATCACATGGTGAAAATTTAAAGGATACATTATAAAAGGATCACATGGTGAAAATTTAAAGGATTAATCCAGATGTTTCAAGAACATTTAGTGAGGCATAAATTCTGAATTCTCTTGTCCGGATTTTTTTTCTTTTTTTCTGGAAAACAGATGAAAAAAAAACATATAATGATTAAAAAGTTAGTCCACACAAAACCACAAACTATTCTCTCCCGTCCTCTGTGTGTTTCCAGTCTGGTGTACCAGCAGATATGTCCTTCATCCATCAGGCTAAATTGGCCACAGAAGTGGGGAACACTCATCTACCTGCCCTGAGCTTCACTGATCAACACCATGGCCACACCATCCATCATGAACACACACACACACACACACACACACACATCTGCAGGATCTGTCACCCCGTCTCCTACAGGACCCCGGTCTGTTCCTACAACGTGGCTGAGCTCCATTGTGAGCAGAAGCAACAATGAGAAGTCAAACAACTCATCAATGTTTTCCAACAAAGTGCAGACGACAAAACCACCCCGCGGTGTTTATCTGCTTCCTCAGACAACGTGATGTGAGAGAATTACAAATGCAGCATTCAGAGCCTCCTCAATCACACAGTGATCAGCTCAGTAATCCAAGAATATTGATAACCAATCCCGCTTTTGTCAATAAACATGCCGCACACACTGGCCCGACATCCCTTCTAAGCTCCAGATGAACACGGAGCGATGCAATTAACTCTGTGTCTGGCTAACAGGTGCGCGGCTCTTTAATATGGAGGAGCTCGGCGTGCGTGTGTGTGTGTGTGTGTGCGCACATGTGAGGAAGAGGAAATTGAAATGCAGCAGAGCAATGATTGTGACAGTTCAAGCAGGCCGGGCATGAATTCTGATGCAATTGCTCGGACGTATAGAGTCAAGCGTACGTATGTTTGTGTGTGCATAGGTGCGTGGACACGACATGTTAATGACTTCCTCCCTCCTGGTGTCCCCCATGGGGCATCGCTGCAACAGGATATCACCAGGAGAGGCACTGTTCTGGGAAACCTGCTGCACAGACCTCCCTCAGCTGTAGCCCACCTGTCTTCATCACCACCCCAGACCTTCCCACCCGAATCCTAATGTAATTAAAAAGGGAGACTGGAGCTGCCTGATTCCAAAAAAACTGTGCATACTAATCATATACAGCCCTGTAAGGGGGAAAACCTGCAGCATTCAAACATCTCATTTTCATCTGCAAAAGAGCTCTTTTTCATTGAAATTAGGAGGAGGTTTTTAAGCTTGAGTAAGTCTGCCAGGCTGAAGTAAATGGTGAATATATTTCATTAACATAAATCAGGACTGTATGACGTCTGAGGTCTCTAACTGCAGTTACGGTCTGTTGAATGTAATTAAACACAGCATTAGGACCAGTGGTTAACAAAACCAGAGCCAGAGTGAGTTGGCTTAATTAGTAAAGCAGAGGTTATCTCCATCTGAACGGAAAAAGTCTGGTCGTTTGGAGAACACTTGGACGTCGGGGAAAAGGCTTCTAGATCCTCTGGAATATGAATAAAACAACCTACAGGCAGAAAAGTTGCAGGATAAAAGTGTGTGTGTGTGTGTGTGTGTGTGTGTCACTAACCTGATCGTCTCTTCTTGGTATAAACAGCTGACAACTGGTCCTCCGAAGCCTTTTTTCTTCTCAGCTCCTTGTCTTTCCTGTAGATAAGAAAAAGTCATACTCACCAAAAACTAAACATTTACATCATTTACATATTAATTAGGACAGTCAAATAATAAAAATATTTATTCTGATTCATCACATCATCGTCAATCATGAATAATCACGATTAATCAAGATAATTCAACATTTCTTAATATGACTTACTACTAATGTATAATCACAGCAGTGTCTGTATATGACTTACTAATGTATAATCACAGCAGTGTCTGTGTTTTAACTGGAGCTAAAGCTAATGTCCGGTGGCAGAAACAAGTAAGGCTGTCAATTCATGATTAATCGAGATTAATCCAAATTACTTCAAGTTTAACTATATATGTATATATATGTATATTAGCTCTATTATACGAACATATATTTCCGTCACCTGGAGTTACAGACCGTCTCATCTCTGCACCACAGACTCTGATCAAGGCCTTTAACTGGATTCTGTTCTAAATGCACTGAGCCACACTGTCTTCCATTCACACTCTGCCTATGGCTAATGTTAGTGTCCCATCAACCTAGTTCACAAATGTGAATGTGTCTTTGACTGGAAGAGGAGACTGGAGTACCTGGAGAAAACCCGTGCACACACACAGGGAGAACACGGAGGGTCCACTCAGGACTGTCTTTATAATGTCAGAGATAAAGACCACTATGTTTAATTTTCAGATACTTGTCTCTGTGGCTTTAGACATGACCTCACTCTTAATAAATAAGTAATACCATGCAACACAATTACATTAAATATACCTATGTTTGTGACTGTTGTTAATCTATTGTGTCTTCATGGAATTCCACTTTACATTCCACTCAGCCGTGACTTTATTACCCCGTGTATTCTTCTCTGACCAACCTTGACTCACAAAAGAAGCCACACAAATGTGATTTGGAGAAAGAAAAAAAAAGTGGAGTATGAAAAAACATGAAGCAAGCGAAGCAAAACAACTGTGCGTGCACTTTTGGTTCAACCTAATTCCCTTTAGAAACTCGGAATATTCGCTGATGCTCTGGCCTTGCTTCTCTGCACTGTAATGTAATAGAAATCCAGTGTCTGCTCAACAATTGAGACGGAGCAGAGGTCAAACGCTGGCTATTATTCTCTCCATGGCATTTCATTTTATACACTATACTATTTTTACTGTGCTTCCAACAGAATGGCCGCCGCCACACTAAGGTGCTTTGTTAGCACTAACATAATCAGCGTCTTTTCAGGGGGCAGTGGTGCATTTTCTGGCCTGTCTGTCGGACTCTGTCATGGCATTGTGCTGCCGTTGGGCAGAATCAGTGAGTTTACCCCATCCCTTGGTATATTAGCACACAAAAGGACGCGTCACAACTAGACACGCGCTTAATGCTAGCTGTAAAAGTGACATGAAAATGGAGGAAGGAGGGGAGTAATAAGTGATTAAAAGAGTTTAAAAAAGGGAACGATTGTGAGAGTGAATACGAAGCAGCCCGTATGAATCTGCACATCAACAAAGGAAAGTCAAGACATTTATTAAAAATGAAGGAGCACTTGCTGTTTGAAAGTGAGTTCCTCAGGTTATTAATTACAACCACTTTGGGTCGCCACTATATATTATTAAAAAATGAAAAAAACAGGTTACATGTACAGTTACATGAACAGGAATTAGTGAAGTTGGTAAGTAATAATGAAGTGAGGAGCTTAGCTCCAGGCACAGAATATGAATAAACATCTATGAGGAAAAAATATAAATATATATATATAAATATATAGGAGGAGTAAACCACACACATTGAAGAATTCAAAGCAAAACACAAAGAGTTCAACAGGCAGCGTTAGTGCTGGACGGTTCAGGGATGTGTGTGTAAAGACACTTGACAGAGATTTAAGATTGTTTTTACCAGACAGAGCAGATAGATGTTGGAGTCTTATCACAGTCAGCAGAAAATATTTCATAGGCTGGTTAGTGTCACACCGAAGCTGAAGGAGTTAGTATTCAACCCTGCTTTGGTGTGTATCCATCCATCCATCCATCCATCCGTTCTCCACTGCTAATTCCTTATCATAAACGTGGGGGTTGCTGGAGCCAATCCTAGCTGTGAACTGGCGAGGGGCAAGGCACACCCTGGACACTTTGACATACATTTTTACAGGCTATTTTAAGTCAATTACATGATGCTTTTTGATGCATTCATAAAGGATAATATAAATAAAAAAAATACTGTCCAATACGGCAGAGCCAATATTTTCGGGAAATCCACCTCAGAGTCGACAAATAACATTTTTCAAAATGAATATTGTCATGTCATTCCAGGTACTTTGGAAAGTGACTGTGAAGAAATGCAAAGCTAACCACCTATTGTTGCCAGCTGCTATAAACTTTACTGTACACGGAGGTTTAGCTGGCTCAGGGTACTATAGATCATTCTTTAAGATAGGCTTCCTAAAACCTGACAATTGCTTTTTAACCTTTATTGTAACAACGCACAGCAACCAGCGAGCCTTGTTCAATTAGACAAATGTATTCATGCTGATCTTGGTGCCAAGATTACACACGACATGTTTGTCAGTGTTTTATTAATAGCACTAAAGTACAAAGTTGTTGTTGTTGTTGTGACTGAATGCTCGTACCTCAAAGGACAACCTGTCCATGGCAACCCAACCTTCCCAGCTGCCCGACAACTCCACAAAGACATGTGGAGATGTAAACAAACTCTTTTGCTACCACATACACAGACACAACGTTGACACCGAAACATTTCTTTTCCTGAATAATTCATATTTTACAATGTCACAAAGCTATAAAGGCAACACAGCCAAACCAACTGGTCCACATACAAGATCTGCTAGGAAAGCTGAGATAAAAACGACAGAGTAATACTGACCTCTATTGATAAACACACTGCACTGCATTTGGAAAGGTGGAAAACACCTCTGCTCTATTTTATCATTAATGTGGTTGTAATAGAGCTACATGTTTCTGTACATATTAATCAATATTTAATTGCGATCTTTTAGAATATATTTTCAAGACCAATCAAACTGCAGAGATGTATAGAAAACATTAACACGACATAACAGCTGTAATCAGCTTCAATTTTTCTGAAATGGTAAATTTACCTTTGTGACACCTTCAGGATCCAAAACGTTGACGCAGGAAATGTACTCCTGCATCGCCTGCTCTGCATCCATATCTCCGAGCTGCTTCCAGGCTTGCCTGAAATATTATGTATAAAAACAGTGTAAATGACCATTTGTAGATAAAAGGATAAACTTATATCGCCTTTTTAAACTGGTAGATAACAGGATTAACTTATATCGCCTTTTTAAACTGATGTACTGTATTTTCAAACGTGTATAACAGTAGTATGAATATGTAAATGTTATTTAGATTGTGTGAGTTCTCTCTGTTTGAAATTCTATTGGTTCAATAACAATTATTATTAACAGTAAAAATGTACATACCACTTCCGTTGTCCTTCAAAGTCAAAGAAGCCAGGTTTAGCTGTATTGCACTTTCCAACTTTGACCTGTGACGTATGAATTACCTGACTGATTAAACAGGCCTAGCATCAAGTAACAAAATACAAATATATGCTGAAGTAAACTGTCAACACAAGTAGCAAATTACAAATATATGCTGAAGTAAACTGTCAACAATCACGAAAAGACTTGGGGGTAGTTTAATTTTATTTTTCTCTTTATCAAGTTATATCATCTGACACAAGGACCGACTCTTACCTGTTTGTATCGAGCATACAGGTACAGCAGCTGGTCCCTGCTGGCTGTCTGAACCAGACCTTGTACACGGGCTGCTGCAGACTCGAACTCGCTCTCCAGCTCATCGCCCTCCAACCGCTCAGCCATTTCCACGGCGCTACAGTCAAACTTTCCCAAGCCCATATCCGAGTCTGAATCGGAGCCTGCTCCACCGAGGGGCTCCCCTGTGTCAGGTCGAGCAGGGTCTGTACCTGAGCCCGTCGCAGTGTCCGGGGACGAAGACGGTGACCCAGAAGCCATTGTTATTGTTGTGTGTAGCGAACCACCAGGCACCGAAAGCGCCTTGTATATCCGTCAAAGAGATTAATAAAATAAAACAGAAATTACTTGAGTAATATATGTTAGGTAATTCCTTTTTTAAGGCGATATTGCTTGTGAATTAGTGCCAGTCGGACTGTTTCTACCGTTGGTCCGTCTCTGGTACTGTCAACTAAAAGTCCCGGCGAAACCATTTCCTAGGCTTAAGGTTCCAGTTGCTTAATATGTTCAGATATTAAAACAAAAAGACGCTTTAATAAGTAAACATATTTTCAATAACGTTGCAATTTATATGAATTCTGGTTATTTCTTGTTTTTAATTGAATTGTAAATGTACCTTCATAATTTGTTTAATACGATGTACACGTAACCCTACTAAACTACTTAAACGTTGACGTTATACCAATAGGACTCCTTAAAATTAAGAAGTTATATCTCAGAAGGATAACGGTGTATATGTATTTTCTTTTCATGAAATTATTTATGCTTTCTCGGGAACTTAGACTCGTACAGATAGGCGGAAATGCAGTAGCGTTATTTGACCACTAGATGCTACTATAGACACATTGATGAATCGTCACCCCCGACAGACATCATTTTCTTCTATAAATAGAAAACACGTCAAAATGTGGCATTTCTTTTTTAAACTACAGAAAATGATGTAATACAGAAGCGTTTTTTTAAAGCCTCATCAACTATCTGTTTCTAGATGGTGTCGTCTGGACAGATTTTGGTTAAAATCTAACGATATAGTTCCTGGCCAGTTAAACACTCATGATTAGTTTTCCTGAATGGGGCGTTTTTGTTACTGTTTCTGTTTCATTTTCTCCAATTTCTTGTTCTTTTCTTTTTGGCTTTTAAATTTCAGTTGACATAATTTTGTTGCACTGCAGATATCTTTTACTATCACAATATATTTATCTTCTTATTTATGGCATTTAACACGACATTCCTTTTACCCCGAGATTGTTGCTGCATCTATTTGTTAATAATAATAATAATAATAATAATAATAATAATAATAATAATAATAATAGGATGAAATTCTTGTGTTAACAGCAGGCCGCCCCTTGGAGGCGCCAGGTACGTGTTTCGCCTTTTCAAAGAAATAAGGGCCAAATATAGAGCAGAAACAAGCAACAAATTCCTATAACAATACCTTTACTGATTTTTTTATTATTATTTTATTTTATTTTTTGCCCAAATCAACCTAAACCTGCATGTTTTTGGACTGTGGGGTGAAAACGCTGATCGAACCTTTGTCCTCTTAATGTAAGGCAAACGCATGTACCACTCTACCACTATGTGGCCCATAGTGTATAATACTTTTAAAATAGCTGTTAAGCTTAAGTAGTGTGTTAAAGACACGACTTAAAGTGAAGCCAAAGTGCTTTAATGAATCTGCAATCTCTTTGAAAGGCAGTAAAGACTGAGGAAACCATTTGTTATCTACTGTATCTAAAGACATGAGGCAGAAACTAATTTTTAATTTTCTAAAATGCATGTGTTCAAGTCTTTTAGGGTGAAACATACAGTATATGAGTGTGTTTAAGGGACTTCAAACACTGTAGACGACATTTAATTATCGTTTTATGACCAGTGTCAGTTTAATCCCCGCTTCTTTTTTGTTTCCTTTTTCTTTTTGGCAGCCACGCAGCGACACCAGCAGCCCTGCGTTGATTGAGTTGATCCCTGGCCAGTGGTTGTTGCCGCACTGCCAGCCCTTTTACTTTTCCAGCGGGAGGTCCCAACACCGCCCGGTGCTCGTGCGCGCTCGCGTGACGCAAACACGTCGCTGCGGCTCAACGCGATGGCCGACGGTGGAGTCTCCAGACCTGCCCAGGGAGGGACGGACCAAAGTCACTGAAGAACACTCTCCGACCGTTACACACAGTTACCGCTGCACCGCTGACCCGCCGCCGCCGCCGCCGGGCCACCTGTCGCTGTGCGGTCCCGCCTGTGGAGTAGTTAGTATGCGGGACAGGACGGAATCAGCCCGGAGCGCACCAGAAGTGGAGTAAAGAGTGGAGCAGAAAGAGAGAGTGAGTGAGAGAGTGAGTGAGAGAGTGAGAGAGTGAGCGGCTCCGTCTGACGCACCGCATGTTCAAACAGCAACTTGACTGTCGGAAGGAAAAAAGTCGCGTCGACTGGGAACCAGGAACGAACAGCCGCGCACGGATTTAACAGACGGCTGGAAGTGGAGCACTTGTTCCGGGGGAAAAAATGAAGTTCGCGGAGCATCTCAGCTCCCACATCACTCCTGAGTGGAGGAAACAGTATTTACTGTACGAGGTAAAGTGAAATATATATATATATGTATTTATTTTTTAAGTGTTAAGCTTTGCTGCTGTGGCTGTGGACCTGATTCACACATGTATGTGTTATTTACTGAGGGGAAACTGCGAGGAAAGAAACAGACATCGATGATTTGACTGTGTTTTCAGCAGCTTACATCTCACTCCTGAGGGCAATAAACGTCGGTAAACGTAAGAGATGTCTATTGTTTATGGAGAGGGGAGAATCGGCTGCGGTTGTTTTAAAAGCCACGGGGGGCATTTATTGTGTTATTGTGTTTTATTGTCGCTCGGTGAGTTTATAACACCTTAGTATGAACAAAACCAGCATTTTATTCACCATGGAAAACATGTAAAAATGACACCTGTTATAGAATTATATATAATTTAATTTATTGCTTATAAAAAAAATTTAAAAATATTTTAATATAATATACATTATGAATTTCACCAATTGTTTATTAACAATAATAATAATAATAATAATAATGTTTACTATTTGTAACCATTTATTATAGCATTTCTAACAACAGGGGTCGATATAAATCATCCATGGCTGAAAATGAAACATATATATTTCCCTCTTTAAACTTAAGTATAATCTTTATTTAATATTTGAAATATAAATGAATCCTAGGATCATTACAGTTGCTTTTATTTTTGTTCTAAATGTCGTCAGACTGAAGACAAAACATCTATATAAGTCAATATTGAAACGACTGGTTTTTTTTTTCATGCCCACGCGGTCTTTGTTGGGTATTGTGGTGTACTTAAGGGCAATTTTATTTTCACACTTCACGTCGAGCGCGGGGCTGCAGACGTGCAGTGACAGGACAGGCTGCTCCATTCCATTAGCTGTATGAATTATAGACAAAGAGCTGGTTCTCTTCAACCCCACTAACCTACATCCCAGACCCAAATACCACCTCACTGACACGGCACGGACATGACTGTTAGGTTACAGCACTGCAGCATCAGATATTCTAATCATTCCATCATGGTAGGTGGTTATCATGTGGTCAGTATAGACAATTATATATATATTTTTTTTTTTTAAATCCCTCCATCTGTCAAATATGAAGAGAAAACTGGAAGAGTAGCAAAGGGGGAAAATAAATAATTTATTTCTATCTGCTGAGTTAAACATGAATACAAAAGAAAATCCTCAGCGTTCTTTGTACGTATGGACTGCTGTAGTTCGAGTCCAGGGACAAATGCATGGACACACCAGCCATTTTACACCTTCAGCGTTCGCTCACACTCACTGACCTGAGATGGATGATGGCAGATTTGATCTGTCGCATTTGTCACGGCGTGAAAGACTGTTACTGTCTTGAAGCGACAGTACATTTTTGACCATGTGTAACATTATTACTAAGTCTACATCAGGGACTTCAGTCTGAGCTGAAATTCTAACTGAAGTTATCTGTAAATACAGAGAATTAAATGTTTTTTCATCTTGATTCAGATAAACGGTCCTTGTTTTCATGTATGTTTTCTTTAACGCAAGTGACAAGAATATTATATATATATACAAGATATTAATGTAATATTAATGCTAAGTATCTACTCTTTCAATGTTTATGAACTTGATTTAGAAAGAGTGATATTAATGTAATATTAATGCATTAAAGTATCTACTCTTTCAATGTTTATGAAAATGTAAAAATCATTGGCTTCAATATTCAAAGATACAGACTGATAAGAAAATGATGGTTTGGTGGGTTGTTGTTTTTTTTCTCGCTGTTGTTGAATAAGCTGCAGATTATTGTTGCCGTCTTTATGTTCCTTAAATGTCAACATTTACAGTTTATTGTTGCATGAAATGTATGACTGCAGCAGCGCTTAGTCTTTTTCTAACCTCTGAAAACACCGTCACCTCCTGAGTGGGTGGAGTTTACACCTATAGATGTTGGAATTGAGATTCAAGGTCTTTTTTTTCCCCCTGAGGAACAAGAACAGAGACAAGGACAAACATGAAGTTATATTAAATGAATTTTGGTGTCACTCAAAATAATGCAAAGCTTTGAATTTATATATATATATGTATATATATACACATGTATTCATATATATGCAGTATGTATTAACACGCAGACATTGCCTCCACCCTCATTTTTACCTACCATAGAAGACAACATAATACAAAAACCACAGCAGAGCTGTTTCTGTCGCACATACAATAATGCACGACAGAAAAGTGAGAATAATTCCCTCCTGTGTCCGCGGCAGATGGATTAATTAACCTCTTGCCCAGTCATCACACTCTTCCTATTTCTGAAATTCTCTTTTGTGTGAAAACGTGTGGCCCTGCCTGCTCTCACGCTCAGACGATTTTCATGCAAAAGAAGACAGAGCAAAGTCACTTCCTGTGAATGCAGAGCTCCAGCTCTGAAGGCACTTCACTGCTCAGCCTTCGACAGGCTGATTGAGCGATCGTGCAATTAGGTGTTAGCTTTATCCTTTGGGATTGGGGCTATAAAGCAATATGCTAAACAGCTGTTTGGTATGAAGGTGAGCAGGTCCTGCAGATCCCAGTGTCCTGTGCCATATGGCAGTAGATGTCGTGTCATGAATGTATCTCTTTTTTTTAAACGTCTTAATTTTATTTTTTTTCTGTCCAATAGATGCGTCGCACAAACATAACAATAACTCCAACCATAACATGGCAGCGTACAGAACGTTTTTTTTCATGCACTTATGAACAGATGCAGGTATATATATGCGCGTGCTTATGAACAGATGCAGGTATATATATGTGTGGGCGGGAGAACGAGGACATTTACAACCACATGTACATGTGCTCTCTAATCACCTGTCTGAGTGAAGACGCGGAGGAAGAGAAGAGCTTTAATAAACCTGGAGTTACAGAGTTAGTACCTGCCTATAGTGAGTGGTTGTTGCTGGTTCAACAGTGGACCTGTGTGTATTAGAACGCCGTAGTTAAATGTCTAAATTAGAGACACTGAAACAGCCGTCAAACACAGCGTTTCTCATCATCTACAGCACTTACGGTAATGTGATTTGACATCATGTTCTACTACGCTACGAACATGATGTATACGACAGACACGGCAACTGCTGTGAACTCCCTCGTTCTATACCTCCCCCCCCCCCTTCCTTCCTTCCACCCTCACCTCATCGTTCCTCCCCCACTGGGAGGACATCTGGTCCCCTACCAGACCTGGCCTCTGCCTCCCTCCCCTGCTCCCCTCCCTTCTGCCTCTCCCTCAGCCCATCCTTTCTGTTCCTCATCTTACACACAGTGATCCACTTAAATGCAGAGGAGGGGATTCAAGTGATCCGCCGTCGCTCTTCAAAGGGTTAATGTTTGCAGTGCGCTCACCTTCAAACCGCCGTCAGATCAAACTCAAGTATCTGAAAAGAGAGGTTTGGTGGTTTAGAACGTAAACATTTCAGCTTGGTGTCCACTCGTCATGTCACAGAGTGCTTTAGTCTGACAAACACACACAGTTATTCCAGGGGGCGTGGCTTCATCAGTGTGTAAATGTGGGGTCACGCAAACTGATGGGTGTTTGACCTTTGGCCAAGTTACTGCCTACAGCAGGGCTGCCCAGGGCATCAACCAGAGGATCGATCAAAAGAAGTGTTTGTAGAAAAATGGAATGCATTTAATCAGCAGCCCATCATTTAATATATATATTTATATATTTATATAATGTATGTTTCGAGTATATGAGTGAAGAGCCTGGTCATCTGAATGGTACCTCCCAGGTCCCCGACCTACAGGTTTGATTTGTGATGAAGGCAAAGCCCAACGGTTCGTTCCAACTCTCCAGAGAGACACCTCGCCCCAATTTCCCATCACCATAGCGATGCCTTCATCTCAACCAACACCAACCAGTCACAATCAGGTTGTGGGATTTTTCCCAACTACTAACTAAAAGGGGAGTTTTCTAACGAGGGAGTTCAAACCTCTGTGTCCGGTGTCTCACATGTTTTACTACACGAGACAGATGGAACTGAAGCTGCATCAGGTTGAATTATATAATTATATTTATCTTTTTTTTTTTTCGATAGGACTTCAGTTTCTAACCCACAGTGTCCAGTATTTCACAGATGAACATGAATAATATCACAGGCCAGGCGGCTACTTATACATTCATTCTAAGAGGTTTCCACCTACACATGGAATTAGTCACTCTGCATCCAAATGGAGTCAGTTTGGAGAATCAGCTCTGGAGGAAAATGATCCGTCAGAATAAAACTGAAAGAACCTGCATGAAAATTAATTTAGGTTTTTGGTAAAAATGTGCAGGATGTTTTGGAAAAAAACTCTTAAGACTCGGAAGTATTGGAGGAAGTATTCAGTCAGTGGCTCTTCATGGGCTTCAGTTGAAATGCTACTGTTAAAGCAGGTGGCGCTGACGATCACGACACCTTCAAGTGTTGTGAGTTTATTCTGAATCATTTGTAATCAAATCATTTGTTGTTCCTCTGAACTATATTCACCATGAAGTCATTAAAGCTGTGGTCATTTTGAACGTTTTTTTTAACTTATATTTTTGTTTTTGCTTCATTAGGCATTCAAGGAAATGCTGTATGCTGCCCAGGACCAGGCTCCGTCCGTCGAAGGTAAACAGACTCCAACACGTGACGTACATGTATCTGCACCCACTGCCCACTTTTCCCTGTGGCCTGTTTGGGCATCCCCAGAATAACAGCTCCCGCTGCTAAAAATAGACAATCGCTGCTAACGTGCTGCCACAACAGACACGGAGTCAAGCAGAATACCATTAGTCAATCATTACTTTCTGACCTGCTTTAAGTTACAAGCAAATATTTGGAGAGGGAAAAAAACCAGGCCGTCAGGATCACAGTCTGGAACTGGACGTTGAGGTGAAGGGTTGGACTGGAGAGGGTTAGATACTGGGTGTGATATCAGATTACAGACGTAAACAACTGTGTTGTAAAGGGTTAAGACACAGTTAATGATGTTCGACTGCTCGTGTGTGACTGTGAGTGAAGAACATGAGCTCAGAGAGTCTGTGATTGAGTCCAGAAAAAGACCCGTCGTGAAACAGGACTCCTCAGAGGTCACCTCTTTGATGCTCGAGCTACGATGTGTTTATTGGTCCAAATGTGTGTGTGTGTGTAAATAGTGAATATGTTTCCATGTGTTACAGTACAATATTTACATAGAGTGCAGAAGTAACGATCCCTACTGTTAGGGATCGTGTGCAGTATCTGGTGTCTACGACGACCTGTTGCACCGGTGACTCGTTCTACTGGTTTATGAAGACCACGGCTACTTAGTTACTGTCCTGCACTTGGTGCTGGTGCTCTGACAACAAACCAGTCATGTGACCTGAGGTTGGAGGTTGTTGAGGTGGTATTTTATACTTGAGGTACTTGAGTGAAATGAAAACTTCACCACAGTATATGTAAATAGGAACGTGGGAGTTCCATTTCTACGATCACTCAGAACTCTCGTACTGAACATAAGTTCATATGTCACTGACCTACGCTAACGCAGCGGTGACATCATCATCCAGGACATAAAAACATCAGACGAGTCAGACGTTTGCTTTGGAGCCAGAATGATGGAACTAGACTTTTTTAATGGTGGTGGACGTCGTAAACTATTCTGAGTTTACAAAATCATTTTTATTTTGATAAAGAAAAGTATGGTCTATGACAACATGTAACTTGAATGTAAAACGCAGCACGATCTGTTTGCATTAATATCTGTAAATAATTTAGAAAAAAACACACATTTTCTCTCATTAATTATTACGTGACAACACAACACATCTTTAAAAGTGATCATGTTTGAGCTGCGGCTGCTCTGAGAGGTGTCTCCGTCGGCTGGTGGATGATAGATCACTTCCTGTCTCAGGTCTGAGCTGCAGTCATAGGTCACATGTCTGGTTCATTTATCAGTATAAAACCGTACTGCACCTCAGTGGCTGTATTTAACCTTCAATCAGGATGTTTTTGTGTCATTTTTTACACCTTTCCCACTCAACACTGTACAGATTGTCCTTCTGTCAGATTACTGATACAGAAAACAGAGGAATGTGGTTTTTTAATGTGGTGCATTCTCATTTTAAAATCTTAATAATTATCATAATAATACAATAATACAAATCTGCAGGAAGAACAGAGGAATGTGGTGTTTTAATGTAGTGCATTCACATTTTAAAATCATAATAATTATCATAATAATACAATAATAATAATTGCAACTACTGCTCCTTGAGTCTCTTGCCTTTTTTCTGGATGTTTTTAAATGATAAAAACCAAGGTGTTCCGACTGTGTGGGTATTCAGAGGATGTTCTCGTTGCCTCAGGGAGACTGGTTTATTGGGTTAGAACTACACACTCACCCACTCTGCTCTCTCCCTGAACATGAAGCTGTGTCTGAGAGAGACACAAGCCTCCGTCAGGGCCTTCACATGTGAAACTAATGGACAAAAACACTGTTTGTATTTGTTTTTTAAACAGCATCTAATTCCACGTTACACTGTTCATTTCACCCACATGGACGACACTGATAACGTGCAGCGACGCCATAACACGGCGCTGCCTCTGTGCAGCGTTTGACCTTTCACCCCACGTTAATGTCCTTTGTTTCTGTCCCCACTCTCCTTAATGGTCCTCGATAAAAACGTGGACGTCTCTGTGTGTGTGTGAGGAGCCAGTGAGAGACATAAGAATCTGCCTGGCTCTGTGGTTCACTCCGTACCAACCATTACAATGACTTATGTCACAATTTAATTCAATTACTCTGTGAATTATCCCACAGATCAGAGGACAACA